AACAGAGACAGACAGAAAGCGAGAAATCACCCCCCAGGGAGGATGGCCACATCGCAATCCCTTCTCCTCCATTCTCCTCTAGGGATCTTGGGCACGCACGCACACTGCCCAGTGTGAGTTTAAGCCTCCAGGTCTGGGACTCGCAACCACGGTTGACTACATGGGAGTCCAACCATGGAGCCATTACACCATCTGCTGGTCCCGAGGAGCTTGCTTTTGATGCCTCAAGATTTCAATCAGGCATCATACAAAATGATGACAGTGTGATGGGGTGGAAAAAGTAGAGCTTTACATTTTACTTATTTTACATTTCAGCTTTAATATTTACTTTTATGTCCAAATAGGTATGCAGTGGAACTGATGAAGACCCTGATGATAAGAATGCACCCTTTCGGCAACGACCATTTTGCAAGTATAAAGGACATACTGCTGATCTCCTTGATCTTTCATGGTCTAAAGTAAGTGATTTCTATGTGTGTTACATATTAATCCTATGTAACTATGACTTTGCAGTGAAAACAAATGTTTTATTTGTATGATTGTCACACTGTCACATTTGGATGTTCATATATCCTTTGTGAAAGTTATCTGCAAGTTAACCTAAGTTTAAAAAGAAGTGACAGATTAGACTAGTAGGTAAACGTTCATTTTATTTAACAGCTTCTCTTTATATACACATCAGAACTCAGTCATGGGAGTCCCACACTAATGAATATATCACACCCAATGGCCCACCCTTCGACACTATGAAGGGAGTTTCACTTGATACCTTTGCAATTGGGGAACATCACATCACTACCAATGAAGACCACATTCTAAGACATGAACCTTTGGGGGACAAACCAGTAACTTAACCATAACCCATCTGTATAGTTATTACCCTTTGCTTCTTTTATAAGCAGTAATTTTACTAAGTACCTATTCTTAGCAAAATGGATATAACTTCAACTACAAAGGTGAAGTGTGATCTATCTAATCAAGCCGATTTGGGGGCTAGTCTGCTATAGTCATAAAATTACTAGTTTAAATTTTGTAGTTTTAGTCTGGATCAACACTAAGTCTTCATCTTGGGATGTTTTTTTTCTTAGAGTGAAGTTATTTCATAACTAAAAGGCCTATTTTGGCTCAGTATCTCAAGATGCTGTCAAATATCTTCAAAATTTCTGAAAAATTTAAAAAGATATTTTAAGTTTTATATAAGGTGTAAGAATAAAATAATTTTTGAAATTTTTGTTTATTTATACTTTGTGCCAAAATCTGTCAATAATCAGAATCTGAAATATATTAAGAATTTAGGGAGGGAGGCCAGCAGGTAGTGTGATGGTTAAGACACTGAACTCCCACATGGTCAATTGTAGTTTGAGTCCTGGACCTGGCGACTTGCTTTTTCACTTTCCCTTTCTCTCTTTGTCTCTCTCTGGTCAAATTTAAAATAGATAAGTTAATTAATTAAATGAAGTAATTCTTTGCAAAAAAATTTAGGGAGGAAAGTAATATTTAAAATAAGCCTTGCAGGGGACTAGCAGGTGGCATGGTGGTTAAGGCGCTGGACATTCCCACATGGCTGACCATGGTTCGAGTCCTGGACCTGGTGGCATACTTTCTTACTTTCTCTCTCCCTCTCTCTCTGGTCAAATTTTTTAAAAATGAACAAATGAATAAATAAAGTTAAATAAATAAATCTTTTAAAAAAAATAAGCCTTACATTGAGAAAGTCAACCAAGTTGATAAAGATAATATCAGGCATATGGGTGATGCCTATGCATTTTTTTTTTTTTTTGGAGAGGTTTTCACTATAGGGCGCATGCGCTCGCCAGACAGACAGAGACAGAGACAGAAAGTGAGAAATCACCCCCCAGGGGTGATGGTCACGCCGCAATCCCTTCTCCTCCATTCTCCTCTCAGGATCTTGGGCACGCATGCACACACGCCCAGCGTGAGTTTTAAGCCACCAGGTCCAGGACGCGAACCGCGGTCGACTACGTGGGAGTCCAGCGACAGCCATTACGCTAACTGCTGGTTTCCATGTTTTTGTTTTATTTTTAAGATAAGTTTTTGCTTTAGGGTGTGTGTGCTCCCAGAAAGACAGAAATTGAGAAATCACTCCCCCCTGGGGGGGATGGCCACACTGCAATCCCTTCTCTTCCAACCTCCTCTCAGGATTTTAGGCACATAGGCACACATGCCTGGTGTGAGTTTTGAGTCTCCAGACTTGGGACTCGAACCTCAGTAGACTATGTGGGAGTCCAGTGACATAACCACTATGCTCTCTGCTGGCCCCTAGTACTCTGGTTTTTTAAACTGAGCCCTAATTATGTCTTTGTACTCCTTCCTTACTCTTTGCCACTGAGATGTCAAAAATGAATGTCTGAGGCATCCTTAATCTGATAATCATGTTCAGTTAGAGTAAGAATGAAAAAGCAAATAATTAAGAAACTTACACTCATTTTACTTTAAAACAAACCAATAATTTTTTTCTGAAATATGATACTAACTAGAAGAAATTAAATCTCCATTGACTACTATATCAGTCAGGATTCTACAGGAAAGGCCTTATGTTGTTGTGTGGGCAGAGTAGTTTGAAGTATGTAGGGGAGGCCAGCAGACTAGAATGTTGACAGTCCTAAAATAGAATTTTTTTTCTGTCTGGAAACCTCAGCTTTTGCTCTCAACAGATTATCGGTTGAGGCCTACCTGCATCATCAAGGGTGGTCTTTTTTTTTTTTTTTAAGGGTGGTCTTTTCCACTCAAAGTCAACTGATTATAGATGTTAACCACATCTACAAAATACCTTCACAGCAATGACTAGACTGGTGTTTGATTAATTGGGTACTATAGCAAGCCAAATTTGCATATAGAATTAATCATCATAAACCACTTTCTTTTAAAACTGAATACCTTTTCTTTCAATTCATTCTCCTTAATCTTCATCTAGCATTTGTTGGCTTGATATTATTACTCTTTCTTGAAATACTCTTTCTTGATTTTGAAACAGTGTACTTTTTCAAATTGCCTTTCTATCTCACTGACCACTACCCTTGTTTCCTTCATGGGGGAAATACAGTCATACCTGAAAAGTATTGTAAGTTTGGTTGTAGACCCCGGCCACCAAAATAATGTGAATATCACAATAAAACAATCATCTGAGTCTTCAACAAGTCGTAATGTTTTTGTGGTGGAGAGTCTTGCCTAAGTGTTAATGGTTTCCAACTGAGCAAGGTGGTTGCTAAAGGTTGGGATTGGTATGACAGTTTCCTAAAATGAAACAGTAATGAAGTCTGCCACATTGATTGACTCTTTTCTTTCATGAAAAATTCCCTGTAGCATGAAATATTGTTTGATACTATTTTACCCATAGTAGAACTTCTTTAAAAATTGTAGTCAAGGGGCCAGCATGTGGTGTGGTGGTTAAAGCACTGTATTCCCACATGGCCCACACGGTTCAAGTCCTGGACCTTTTTGTGGCTTACTTTCTCCCTTTTCTTCTCTCTCTCTCTCTCTCTCTCTCTCTCTCGTGAGCACATGTGCCCCGTAGCAAATTTTTAAAATATAATGATAAATAAAATTAAATAAATAATACTTTTAAAATGTTTTAGTAAAACCTTTCTACTTTTTTATCAACTAAATTTATGTAATTCTAAATCCTTTGTTGTCATTTCAATAATATTCATAACATCTTTACTAGGAGTAGATTTCATCTCAAGAAACTACTTTCTTTGTTCATACATAAGAAGCAATTCCTCAGCATTAGTTTTATGAGCTTGCAGCAATTTAGTCACATCATCAGACTCTACTTCTGATTCTAGTTCTCTTGCTAATTACACTACATCTGCATTTACTTTCTCCAGTAAAGTCTTGAACCTCTCAAAAGTCATCCATCACAGTTGGAGTCAACTTATTCCAAACTTCCCCGTTAATGCTGATATTTTTTTAGTTTTTGAGACACATAGAGACAGAGCAGCACAAACACTCTCAGCAGTGTCCCATGCTGCAGTCCTACTCTCAACCTTCCCAGCCACCCACATGGGCATGCACACATGTGCCCAGGATGTACCAGTTGACCCAAAAATCAGACTCCAGTCTTCTATTCCAGCACTGTAGAGCATTGCACTACTACTATACCACCTTACGGTATTTTTACCTTCTTCCATTAACTATAAATGTTCTTAATGGGCATCTATATTGGTTGTCGCAAAAGTCTTTATACATCTTTGCATATAAAAATATGTCATAATTTTTCTGATGACTTACTAGAACGGTGAATCCTTTCCAGAAGGTTTTCAATTGACTTTGTCCAGGTGTATTTGAGGAATCACTGTGTGTGGCAGCTATGGCTTTATGAGATATAGTTTATAAATACTAAGACATGAAAGTTGAAAACATTAGTTTCCTGTATGTCCTCATCAGAACTCTTGGGTGATCATGTGCATTGTCACCGAGCAGTAATATTTTGAAAGGAATCTTTTTTTCTGAGCAATAGGTTTCAACAGTGGGCTTAAAATAGTCAGTGAAACATGCTGTAAACAGATGAACTGTCATCCAGACTTTCTTGTTCCTTTTATAGAGCACAGGCAGACTAGCTTCATCATAATTCTGAAGGGGCCTAGAATTTCAGAACAGTGAATGAACACTGACTTCAACTTAAAGTCACAAGCTGTATTAACCCCTAAGAAGAGAGAGAGTCAGCCTCCAACTCTATGGTTTGAGTCTTGGGTCCAGGAGCTTGTGAAACAAGCCAGGTGTGTGTGCATGCGAGCCCAAAATACTAAAAGGAGGGAGAAATGAAGAACTGTAGCATTGACCATTCTCCATGAGGGATGTTCTCTCACTTTCTCTTCTGTCTCTCCATTATGAATATTCATGCCCTCTGGCAAGAAAGTTAAAAAAAAAAAAAAGCCCGTCCTTTGAAGCTTTTATATTAGGCACTGATTTCTCTCTAGTTATGAAAGTCCTAAATGGCTTCTTTTCCCAATGTAAGGTTATTTCATCTATGTTAAAAATCTCTTGTTTAGCTAGCCTTCATCAATGATCTTGGGTAGGTTTTCTGGTTAACTTGCTGAGCCTTCTATAGCAGCACTTGCTGTTTCACCTTGCACTTTTATCTTGTGGTGATGGCTTCTTTTTTTAAGCCTCAAGAATCAGCCCCTCATAGCTTCAAACTTTTGTTCCACAGCTTCCTCACTTCTCTCAGCCTCTGTGGAACTGAAGGAAGTTAGAGAGTTACTCTATATTAGGTTTCAGTTTAAGGGAATGTTGTGACTTGTTTGATTTTCTATCCAGACTACTAAAACTTTCTCCATATCAGCAATAGGACTGTTTCACTTTATTATCATTCCTGTTTACTGAGTAGCACTTTTGATTTACTTCAAGAGCTTTTCCTTTGCATTTACAACTTGGCTATTTGGTGCAAGAAGCCTAAAACTCGGCCTTTCATGGCTTTCAACATGCCTTACTGAGC